TGGGTCATGACCCACCTCCTGGATTTATTATAGCCGGGTTGGTTTCGGGTTGTTCGGGTCAACCCGATCGGAGCACTAATCCTAATATGGGTCATTTGCTAGGAAAACCGATGTTTAGCACTTTCTGAACAATTTTGAGATTTTGGATTCAAATGAAAGTACTCATTCTTGTTTATATGCAATGAATTTTTTATTCTACATTGACTTAATAAATTATCGAGATTTTTAGATTTAAAAAAATTGTTCTTCGAAAATTAGACATTCTAAAAATAGATGACAATCAAAGATTATCCAATCAAATTTGACTGATCGAATTGTGTGATATAAACTTTTTTTTAACATCACATTTTTTGTATTTTAGCTATTAGCGCTAAAATAAATAAAAAAAAAACTTTGAACAATAATATGTGCGTTTTAAGAAGTTTGATTACAAACTATGGAATGTACTTTATATAAGTAAATAAAGTTTCAAATATTTATAATTTATCTGTAATATAAAATAAAATCCAGTTAAAAATCCAGACTTCGCTCAAATTTCATTTTATTCGATGATACAAAGTTAAGAATTAATGGTTACATATATATAACAGTTTAAGAACCGTATTTCATGTTATTAATATAAAGTATCATAAAAAGATTGTAACTTAATATCTATACGATTGATTGTTACTATTATTTATCTCAAAAAAAAAGGTTACCGTTAGCTAAGTATTTAAAAGTTTAATTGAAATGTTAATGTTTTTAAATCTACTTGATACACGACTAATTATTTTTAACCAATTGCAGATTAGAGCAATATAGTTTTTGTTTGAGAAGTGAATGAAGTTCTTTCCATTATAAATAGTTTTTGTTTGCCGTCTAACCAGATAGCTAAAAATATAAAGTTCTTTTAAGTAAAAATGATTACTTAATCCATAATGGTTTTGGACAAGTTATATCTTGAAATCGTACATCTACATATTGTCAAAGATATTCTTGACGTGCTTTTGATAATGTTATTAAAGGAATTTTTTCAAGATCCTCATAAATATTGAATTTACTTTTTAAAATAGTAAATTCATTATAAACACCGTATGCTTTAGTTTGACAAAACACTTTTCCTGGGTTTTTGGAAGTAAATAAAAAATGACTAAACTTCGAAATGCCTGGCAATTCTTTAAAATGTGGTTTTAAAAATTTAGAAAAATTATAATATGTCCATCCCTCACTGTTATTATAACATATTCCTTTATTAGCACCACTTCTTGTTGATTTGTTAATTACTTTTTGAACATCATCTATTATACATTCCAACCAGTGTAAGCCAACACCAAAAATATAATGAAAGATTATTTTTATTTTGTGCTGAACAATTATCACAAGTAATTTTTAAATGTTTTCTTGATTATAGAATCAGTGTAATCCATTGTATACAAGGTTTAGTGTTGTATTTGCTCCTTTATGTATGCCTTGTGGAAATTCATTTTCACCGATTATGTAATTTAATTGTTGAGCTAGATTCTGTCCAGTATTACAAATGTCAAAAATATGTGTTTGAAATGCTGATTTAAAATATGTTGCACCAATTTGTTGAGGAGAATAAGGTACAGGAACATTTTGTGCAAAATCATAACATATATAGGCCATATTAGATAGAGTTATGCTTGTTATTATATTGTTACGATAATATTCTCGTTCTATCTCTGCATCTTTTTTATGATCATATAATTTTTTTTGCAAAAGTTTTTTTTCATCATCATAATTTGCACTTTGAATTTGTATTTTTAAAGTTTCACATAGTTCATATAAATCTGTACCAGGTGACATAAATTTAATATGTGGAGTTAATTCTTTCCAAAGACGTATAAAGCTTGCATAACTAATTTTATTAAATAGTTTGTCTAGAAATATATTTAAACATTCTATAAAATCAGTATACACTTTAGCATAATCTTTTTCAGTAGGTAAATAAATAATAGATTGTGTATCATGTTGTAAGTGTCGACCAGGAGACGGATATCCATGTAGATTAGCATAATTTATTATAAATTGATGAACTAAAGTTGATACATTTTGATCAATTTTTGTTCGACTTTTTATATCAGGAATTCATTTTATATTACCATGTAATCGTTCAACTAATCCTTCATTTATAAAATGTTTTTTAATTTGAGTAAAATGAAATTCTCCAATTCTAATTAACTTAAGATATGTATTTTTACATAATTTAATGTTATTATTAAATTGATAATTAAATCTTCGTCCAATATCTTCATTTATTTGATTATATTCAAATGCCATAAGTTGCCCTATTAAAACTAAGTCTAATTCTTTTTTATCTAAACCACGAAACTGCATATGTCGTTCAAAAAAATGTTGAAACCCAACTTTTTCAAAGCATTGTTGAGTTTTTCTCATTCGGCATTCACAACTTTTGGACTGAAAGAAGTTCCATAAATCTTGTGCAACTTCTTGTACTAATTCATTATTCTCATATTTATCCAGGCCTAATTCTTCTAGAAAAAGATTTGGTAAAGACATTGTTATATAATTTTTAATATTAAAAAGAAATAAATTTTATGTAAATAATATTTACGCAAACTTTATTTCTTAAAAGCATAAAATATATGATCAGTAAATAATCACAATTAGTAATCTTATGTAAATAATATTTACGCAGACTTTATTTCTTAAAGCATAAAATATATGATCAGTAAATAATCACAATTAGTAATCACATCTAAAAATAAATCAGCGAAATTTTAAATAACATAAAATTTAATCGCATTTTTCTCAAAATTAAAACTACCCTTCAATCTGTGGTTTTCCTAGCAAATGACCCATATCTAAAATCCTGACATCGAATAACCATCGGAAATTGTGTAAAATGATTACTGGATTTAGACCTCTAACGATGTATGAACATATGTACGCATCATTAGACAGATGATAAGCTACAGATATTATGATACGTATATTAATCGGAAATATATAGTAAAAATTCGCGAAAAAATTTTTATTTTGTTAGAATTTAGCAGATAGTTTGGGTGCCGGTCAAAATCCCGACAAGCACAATCCCGACAGGTCATAATCCCGACAAAAAAATCCCGACAGTCAAAAATCCCGACAATTAAAAATC